CTGGCAGCCCAGGAGGGCAAGGCTGCTAACCCTGGTATTTTTAAATTAAAAAAAAAATGCTCAAGGAAGCACAAAGTGACTATACACAGTCTCATTGAACACAGTGGGATTTTTTTTAAAGGGCTTGTAATTGAGTGTTCAGAGTTTTCAGGAGAGTCAGTGCTTCACAGACCCAGGCCCAGCACTTTTTCTGTTGAGCTGTCACAGCATGTGATGCGTAATATGGTAAATAATATAAGCATTATACATTTGTTTTAAATCTTTTAAAATAAATTCTTAGAGACTTAAGGCTCTGCAAAAAACTGCTTTTGGCCACTTTTCTGTTCTAAGCAAAGGATAGAGAAGAAGATCAAGAAGGTGGTGTAAGAGCCAGCCCAGAGACTGGAGGTGAAAGTCCTTAAGAGGGCCCAGCAGAAAGTCCTTCCTGAGGACAGGAGTGCTCAGAGCTCTCTGCACTAGATATGTCTAGAAAATAAGTCACTTGAGATATCAACATGACAAAAAAATAGAGACTGGTGTAATTGAAAAGCAGCCAACATCTCCAGTGTTGCTGGTTAACATGCGTCTTGCTGGTCCTTGTTTCCAAACCACCTCTTCAAGTTGCAGGGAAAACCAAGAAACTTTGCATGCTCTAAAGCAGCAGTCAGAGACCTGAGAAGCACAGAAGATGCTGGCTAGACCAGATGTGTGGGCCACAGCACTCTGGTTCACTCCTCGTGCTGCAAGGAGGCTTTTGTGTGCTGGGGTTGGGCAGCTGCTGCCTAGGCAGGTCTCTCGTGTCCCATCCTGTGGGAGCAATGTTCAAAGGAGAGCAGGTGGGCAGCAAACATGCAGATAGCACAGACCAGATGAGATCAGTGCTTGCTGATACAATACGATCGCAACTGAGCTTGTGCTGGGGTGGGAGGGGGTCACTCTGTGCCGTGGGGACAGAGCTGGCCCAGATTACCCCCTTTGGCAAGCACAGGAGACTTGTGTGGACTTGGCTGGGTCTCTGATGGCCCCTAAACATCTCTTGCAGACACTGTTTCACAAACCCCTCATCTTCCTGCCTGTGCCTGAAGGTAGGGGCTCTAGTACTTGCAGGTATCAGTAACAGGGCTTAGGGTGGGGGGGAAGTCTTTTGGGAGAACTTAGCAAAAGGTGTGGGATGAGAGAGATCAAAAGAAGTTGGTACTTAGAATTGTTTAGGTTGGAAAAGACCTTTAAGATCATCAAGTCCTGATGCAGTCCTGGCAGGCTGTCAAGCTCAATCTTTCCTAGCCTGTTTTCTCTGCTTGCAGCCTGTGGCTGGCTAGAGGTAGCATGTGGGGAGAGGTACAGTCCAGCTTCTGGAGTGCCCTGTGGACATGCCTGCCTCCTGCCTCCGCTTGGCTCTCCTGGGAGAGCGACTGTAATTCCCCTCGCCATGGTTGCCCCATGCTCTGGCAGCGACATCCCTCCAGCCTTCCTCCTATGAAGTTGCACAGGGCCAAGGGGGGACCATGCGGTCCCTGCAGCCTGTCCTGCTGGTCCAGTGCTGCTGCCAGCTTCTGCAGGGATGGGCCTGCCTCTGGTGGGGGGTTAGCAGGGCGTGCTGCTGACCAAGGCTAAGGCACGTTTTCCAAGCTGCAGAGGGAGTTGGGAAAAATTCCTGCTTGTCCTGATCCAGAGGCTGGGCTGGGCTGCCTTGCCCTTTGCTTTGCAAATAGCATGCTCCCTGCAGAGCAGCAGGGAGAGGGTGAGGCAGACCCTGTAGGAAAGGAAAACTGCTTTTCCCACAGTCAGACAGGGTGCAGGCATTTCCCAGTGGGTATTTTTTGTTGTTTTCACCCTGGCTCTGCAAGAGCAACGTGTTCTGTTCTTTCTGTCCTAGCAGGGTTTCCAATCCTCTTGCTCATCACATATTAGCAGCATGCCAGGGTCTGGTTGAGCAATGACCACGTTATGCCAGTCCTGCATTCTTCACAGGAGTGCCCGTGAGTGTGGCTCTGACGTGACTGGTCTCTTTATTCTGAAGAGCCCTGGGTAGCCCGTGTTTACTCTTTTCATCTCTCTACCATTTCGTGGCCTAAAAAGCACGCATGACCCAGCTTTGCAGGGATTGCATCACTGCTGCCTCGGTTGGCAGCTAGCATGTCTGCTCTGACCGCAGCGAGGACATGCAGTAGCTGTCACTTATTGTCCCCGTGCTTTAGTCACATCTCCTCCTTGCCCAGGAGCACTTTACAATGACAGCTTTGTCCATTACATCTTTTCATAATACCATTGGCAGTGCAGGATTTTTTTTGTTGTTGTTGTTTTTTTTGTTTAATCTTCTATGAACTTTCCTGGTGTCCTAGTTTGCTAAAAAGGCAGTCTTGGTGTTGCTTGTTACACAGTTGCTCCTCAGCGATGGCAGGAAGAGGTAAAAGTAGCTGCTGCTATGTTCTTATGCATGTTTGTGCCCATAAGCTGGCTGGGGAGCATGAGTAAGCTAGCGTGGCTGACGGGGAGGGCCAACCCAAAGCTCCTCACTTCTCTGCCGACAGGAATAGACCTCTCGTTTTTCCCACCCAAACGTCTTGGCTTTCATGCCATGCATCTGTGTTCCCCACTTGTCAAAGTAAAGGACAGTAAGGGCAAATCTCCCCTGGGGAGGGCCAGCAGTGCTGCCCACCAGCTCTGCCCGCCTGCCAGGGCTGCAGGCAGCTCTGACGTACGCCCCAGCTGCTCGCTCAGCAGTTTCCAAGTGAGGAGTCAGCGTTTTAAGTGGCTTTGTGACAGTCATCCGCCACGTGGAAAAGTAATAACCAACAGCTTCACAGCCCATGTATCGCTGGACCATGGCCTAAAGGGAACCTCAGCCCAGAGCACTCCTGCTTCATGGCTCCTGCACTGTCCAAACCCAGTTTGTCTTTTCTTGTCCAAATGCTACTTGGTGCAGCCGACCTTGGCAGGAGTTAGATGAGCAAAGACCAGTCACTAATATCACATGGCTCTTGAGAGGGACTTCTGCTTGCTACAGTTGCGGTATCATCAACCCCAAATCAAAAATTTTGTGGGCAACTCATGAGATTAGTTGAAAACCGTGGGATCGTTAAAATGAATTTGTATGGGTTTATTTGCTGTTTGATTTTCTGTATCATAAATTCTCAATGTTTGGTTTTCAGGTTTCCTTTCTTCAGCTGAGAGACAGGGAACTGTGTAAATCAAGTGAGCACACCCATTTCTAACACCAGATTCTTACATCCTAGTAGGGCTGTTATGGAAGTATCATTAACCTTGTATTATTTTAAATAACCATATTAGCAGCTCCTGTCTGCAAGCGGAGGCAACAGACAAATACCCTAATTGTATATATTTAGTGTTTGGCTCGCTTCCTATCTCCAAGGGTCATGCTATTTAGGGAGAATATCCTCTTTCATGTATGTATGAAACAAAGGGCAGTACAGAGAAAAACTAAGCTTGCTACAAAATAAGCTAGGCCCATTTCTTCCACCGAGACTGGAAGAAGCTGTGCTTTCTCCCCTTGTGTGGTTTCGCTGGTTGTGGTGGTGAAAGGGTGTGACTGCTGTAATGGATGGTGCAAGTTATGACCCAGACGTGGAGATGGCCTGGGAGGAAATGCTGGTGTTTACAGCTGACAGAAACAGCGTCCCAGTGTAGGACCTCATCCTGGAAAACTTGTCACCTGCTGCCATCTGCAAGTACTTTGTGGCACAGCATCCAATATTCCAGTAACAGCTTGTTACCAGCGACTGTGATTTGTTTGTGTGGTCACTGGGTTAATTTCACAGTCTGCTCTATCTACTGCTGAAGTTTTTATTTGCAGTGGGACAGTGTACGTCTTGAATACTTGCCTCATCTAGAAAATAATTTTATTTTCTCTCATTTTGACACTAACTGAAGTAAGCAATTGTACAGGTACCATTTCTACTGTCTGAAGTGAGCCCTCCTGCACCTCCACTTGTTGCTTAAGCTGACCTGGTCTGCACGTGGATGTTGCTGGATGAAGGTCTGTTTTCACTGAGGGAGGTTTAGGTAAAAACAGTGTGATTAACCTAAAAGTCATGAGATACTTTAAAAATACATATAGGATCCTTCTGGCTTGTGTTTGTCAAGGGGTTTGTTTGGCTTGCCTTTCTGAGAACCAAGGTTTTTGAGCAAACTTAGCACCTGGAGATTTAGAACAAACATCCACATGCCAGGAGACCTGAGGTATCTCTCAGCGCTGGCCAAGCTAACTGTTATTTTTGTATTTGTGCCACTGGTGATTTTTACTGTTGCTGAAAGCTCCCAATGACCAGAGTCACCTTTATACTCGTGGAGAAGCAGTTTTTAACAGCTGCCAGTGACCGACGCTTGAAGGCTGTGATTGCTGGAGTGTAAAACCACTGGGGGGAAAACCCACAAAAGCTTTCAGTTCTTTGAATGGAAATACTGCTGTTCCTCAAGCTACACCCTTGTGAACCTGTGTCCAGATGCTGCTCTTGCCCTCCATCCACGGCCCTGTCCATATCCCCAATGTGCTTTGGCGAGGGGGATTGGGATCGGTATTGGGAGCTCTGTGTGCAATGAGCTGGTTTGGAGCCTGTTGGTAGCAGCTGAGCTGCTGCTCGGGAGCGAGGAGAGGTCGTGTTGGCACTAGTGCATGGTTCCCTCAGCCAAGCACTGGCACTTTGGCAGAGGTGGTGTTTGAAGTGGCATAGTGGGAGTGGAGACTTTGTTTCTCATACTTGGGTTGGGGTTTGAGTATTGCTGGTTTACCTTCTGAATGTTTTCACCCTAATTTTAAGAATGGGCAGGAATGAAGAGGATCAAACCTGTCTGACTTCCCTCCTGGAGCTGAAGGTGGAGATCTCTCTCCTTGCAGCTCCCCCAAGCCATGGGGGAGCCCCCATGGGCCATGCTTGCCACAACCTGGCACTGAGGAGCCCAGCCACCCTGCTGTGACGGTGTACAACACCGATGGTGTAGGCTGGTCTTCTGGTCTCACAGCTTTGTGCTTATGCCTGCATGAAAACGTTGTTTCCTGAAGGCGCAGTCCCACCAGAGAGGTTCGCGTACAGCAGTCTCCAGTGTCCTTACAGCCTGGGAGGTGTTCATAGGAGCAGCTCCCCACAGTGCTCCAGGATGGGGAGAGAAGCCCCCTCCTTTCTCTCCAGGGAAGAGTTAAGGACAGCAGCAGCCAGAAGAGGAGGTGTACCATCAGCCTAAGTTTAGTGCTTTGGAGTCATGGAAAAACTTGCATTACAGTATCAAGTCCCCAGAGAAGCAGTCTGGCACAACGCTGCTGCTCCTGCCGCCTTGCACAGGAGCAGATGCTCTCCTTTGAGATGCTCATCCCATTGCCTTCAATGAGACCAGTCTGTGCAGCCTGGGCAAATGTTTGGGTCATTGATTGCTGAGGGCTTTATTGACTGTGGTTTACACTATCCTTGTGGAGAGGGCGTGAAACGCTTGGTTGTGGAGAGGCAGATGATACTTTGCTTTGTTTTCCTTTCTCAGCTGGTTGCATCGATCGTCTTCATCAGCTTTGGCGTCATCGCTGCGTTCTGCTGTGCCATAGTAGACGGTGTCTTTGCTGCCAGACACATAGTAAGTGCTTCCAGGAAAACACAGGTCCTGCAATGCTCTTAGTCTAGGAAAGCAAGTGATGGTGTCTGTAATCCGGTATCGGGCATCAACCCCGTAAATATGTCATGTGCCGAATGCTGTTTTAAAGCATAAACTTCAGAAAAATGTATCAGTTTTGCAAAAATATTTTGAAATGAGCAGCAAGCATTGATATCTTAAAACTTTGCTTTAGGTTTTTTGTGTATGCTTTATGTGCTTACTGAGTCTCAAAACTGTAAGTTATAATTTGAATTTACAGCTGTTGCCGAGGGGCAATATATGAGCAGTAACATCTATCGTGTCTTAAATACTAGCAGAGGTAGTTCTTAATGCTGATTGAACCGCTGGATGTTGTAGCAGAATGAAGCAATTTGATCTGAAGCTCATGAAAGTGTTACAGTATAAACAGGAAGCACTTGCAGTAGGTTCTCAGTTTCCATTCGATGACTTAAAAAAATATGAGCTACTGCTGTCAAGACCAATCTCTAGTACAGCGGGACGTGCAAAAGCTTCAGTTATTAGTATCAAAACAAACAAACATAATTCCATTTCAACTTTTTAATTGAAATATATAACTGCAAACAGATTTTTGTCCTGCAACTCTGCAGTTTGATGACTTTTTTTTTTGAAATTTTTGGCAAAATGGCATTAAAAAGACAGAATGGAAAGGAATTTCAGAAGGTCAGAATTGCCCATGAAGTGGAAACTCCCTGTGTCAGCTGGCTTGTTATTCTCCTTGTAAAGCCAGCTCTCCTTTCCTGCCCCTGAACATTCCAATGGGAGAAAAATGGCTGGACCGCAGAATTTGCTGACGGAGCAAAGGGCAGCTCCGCTCAGCTGCGTCTCCGTCTGTCTGGATGCAACCAGCAAGTCTCGTCTGTCTCTGACCCACCTTGCGAGGGCATGTGAAGCATTCGCTTTGATAAAAAGGTGAAATTCCTTCAACTCCTGATCCTGGCCATGTGTGTCCGAGCCCCGCAGACATGCTCTGTGATTTTTTAGGTGCTGACCTCACAGGCTGGGTGATGGCATGAGCTGGCACCTCCTCCCGGCCGGCCGTGGTGATGTCTGCGTGTCTGAGACAGCCAGAGCTGAGCAGTTGGGATGACGAGGGCTCTGGTTTCTGCCTCTTGATGAACGGACGTGCTTTTGGCCTCGCTTCACCCCCTAACCGTCCAAGAATGTCATCTTGCCGGAGACGTGCTCCTGCCACGCTAGCACATAGCGTTCCCCCTATCGCCTGCTGCTGTCGCTGCCCTGCCATCCCAAGCTTGGGATCAGACGCTCAGAGAGCAAGTCCAGCCGCTCCTGGGAAGGGCTTGCTGAAGCGGATACACATCCAGCGTTGCTTTCTGTGAGGTTTTGCCCTGGGGACCAGGCTGCCCCGAAATGAGATGTTAATGCAAGTTGTTTGCAGGCTGAGCCATTGGTAATCCTCCAGAGCTTTCCCACAAGTCGCTCAAGAGCCCAGAAAGTTAAATTTCCCAACAATGTAATACAAAATGGTTATGATTCAGCATGAAGAACCCTCGGAAACACATCAGGCAGCCTTGGGATGTGTCTGGGGGGGGATGAAGAATGAATCATTTAGTTCGGGGTGGCCGCCCTCACCCAAACGAGCCTGGCTTAAGAGCCTGCTCCTCCCATGCTAGCTGCAACAAACACATGCCTCCAAGGACTGTGGTTAAATGTCAGCTGGGGCTCCGGGGCTGAGGGTGGGGGCCTGCCATGGGTGAGGGTTTTGCAGAACAGCCACTATATTGAGGTGCTGATGCGGGAGCAGGGTCTCTCTAAAGCCTGGCCCCTTTCTCCGGACCAGCTAGCTGATCTTGATTTCGCTGCAACACTAAGCCTGGTGCTTTTTTGTCGGCAGGATCTGAGGCCACTGTATGCAGGGCGATGTCAGTACTACTCCAAGAGTACGACCCCACCAGAGGTGAGAGCAGGTTCGGCTGTGCTGTCTCTGTGAAGGGGCCAGCTTCATGGTGCAGGTGGAGGAACCTGCTGCCAGGCTGTCTCTCCGGTGTACCGGGGGCGAGCAAAGCAAGGAGGGGGTGGGAGGCTGGGCCTGGGGTGGGAGCAGGGTGCCAGGAGGATGCATGGAGTGAATTCCTCCACGCTTGGTACTGCTATGTTAGTGAAGGAGCAGGTGGAGAGGAGGGGATAGGGAGAGGAAAATACACCAGTTTCTCTAGATCTTCAGCTGTGCATTCGTTACAAAAGCAGGGTGGTGGGTTGAGTTCAGGCAGCAGTAATTTCTGTGGATACAAGCAACATACACCAGCCTGCGCACCCCTGCTGTCTATTGTCTTCTCTAAAGAGAAGCCCGTTGGGGCTGGATGTTCCTGCCACATGCTGATAATGTGTGTGGACATCTTTGGCTGCCTTTGCTGTGCACTGAGAGTGTCTCTGAGATTTCCTCACAAGTTCCCAAGTAGTTTTGAATAACCACTATATTGCAAATGAAAATGCCTGCTTGAGGTGCAAAATAAGTACTACCCAGTGGCATTGGTGGCGTCCATTTTCTTTTCAGCCCAAAGATGGACCATGTGAGCTTGGGTGTTGTTACCCACCTGCAGGCAAGTAACCGCTTTGGTCAGTTATTCACCAATATGGGAACCTTGCTTTCAGTTTGTATCATCCTATTGAGAACTCTTTGCTGTAAGTTGCTGTGTGGGGAGGAGTGTTACTTCAGCAAGGTCTTGGCTGCTTGTAAGAGTTGCACAACCCCCTTCCTATGCAGGCGTGTGCTTATCTATGACTTCCCCATGATGGAAGGAAACGCTGGTCTGTTCTAGTCTAGTGCATCTTTACTCAGGTATAACTATGTACTTCGTAGGAGCTGGGCTGCAAGACAAGGAAAGAAAAATCTGCCTGGGGCTAATCTGGAGATCAGTGCAAGATCTACATGTAGAGCAGGCCAAATAGCAGCAGAAACCATGGTGATTATGTCCTTATGTGCTTTATGTATTTTTTCTGGATTCACACAGGCAATCTGTCACCCACAGCGCCGTGCACCCTGCACACCGAAAATAAAAACCAACACCTGCTTCTGCTGTGACCTGTACAACTGTGGAAAGTGAGTAGGCTAAAAATACGATTCCTGGCCGTGGGAAGGGCGAGCAGTGGCCATGCTGGTTTGCAGGTGTCTGAAGGGCCAGGATAGGGCAGGAGCAAAGTATCGGTTAATGACAGCTGTTGTGGGAAGCTGTGGTTGTGGTTGCTAGCCACAGGGACTCCCAGGCAAAAGATAAACTAGTAAAGGGGTGTATGAAATACACTAAAGCCATCCCAGCTACAGGTGAGCATGCCTTGGGCCAGCCCAGCTGGAAAAATTAGGAGGGTGGGAGTTTCCCCATTACTTCCATGCTTGGTGCCTTTGCCAGTTTTTTCGCCTGTTGAGCATCCCTGGTCCTAACACCTTCCTTCTCTGTTGTCACTGCTTGTTGCTGGGCTTTATTTTGGTTTAGAAGATTGAAGATGTAAAAACTGGAGCAATGTTCTTCCTCACCTTCTCACCATTTCATTCCCCACCCTGCTAACAGGGAGGAGAGTTCTCAGGCTGATGCCACCTGCATGTTCATAAATCAGTGTCCTCTCTGCCCAGAAAGTATCTTTCATGGTCACAAGAGGTTGGAAGGCGTACCAGCACTGTGCAAAGATGAGTCAGAAGGGTGGTTACTAATCGAGCACCCCTGCATAGTGATCACCCCATCATTAGATCTGGCTGCTGTGCCTAAGCCAACTTAATTTACAGCCCGTGCTGCTTATATCATTTGGAGTGTCTAATGTGTGTCAGCAAGCAATTAATAAATTTATTTTTTTAGTGCTGGCTCTTGCCTAGGGCTGTTTCAGGCTTAGCATTTCTCACAGTACTTAGTTGGGTTGGCCCCCACTTAAATCATTGACTGTGGTGGAGGAAGATCAAAAGCTGCTGTTGGGCGAGGGTGGTTCCGCATGCTGGGAAGCGTAGTCCCTGGTCTCTGTAGGACTTTGTTTCTGTGGAAGCCACTGCTGAGGGGTGAAGCTCACGCTTTCCTGAAGAGAGCGATACACAGAGAAGTGATCGTAATAGAAAAACTTCTAACTTTTCTGTATTTTTTTCTTGCCTCCCGCCCCAGTTCAGGGTCCTGCCTCTGACTCATTTTCCCCTCTCTGATGTAAGATATCAGTTGTTACCATTTCAATCTTGCTTAGTGCTACGCAAGTGTTCTGCACTGAGGAGGTGCTGGTTCTTTTGGGATCTCAGTAAGAAAGGCACAGACACTCAAGGCTGGTTAGCTCATGTATTATATAAAGGATGGAAATTATAGAAAAAGTGACGGTAATCTTGCATCCCTCCTGATGCTGGGAACCCCGGCTGTGGCAGCACCGGATGAGCCCCTTCCCATTGATTAGTACACACTGTACTTATCTGTACAGTGCTGAATGTTCTCGGTGGTACACCAAGGTTCGCCGAGAGCTTTACGCTCTCACACATCTCCATAGGAACAAGCTCTTGCAGACAGCACATACAGGTTGTATTGTTAAAGGCAGTCACGGTATGTGCTCAGGTTATGCAGAGATCATGCAGGCTAACATACAGGTTTTTACAACCTGCAGTTATGCTCTGCTTCGATTCTGCTTGAAATCCCTGTCTCCTCATTGCAATGTCTTCTGCAGTGGCTCACTACAAGAAGATAGGGAAAAAAGGAAAAGAAGAAAGCGAAATTGAGTGATGAGGGAGGGAGGGTGGCTCTTGCGAAAGGGGGCAGGTTCCTGCAGGCCTTGCAGAGTCTGCTGGGGAGCTGAGCCTGGATCTCCTGCTTCTTGGCCTTAAATATGAGCCTGTTCTTCCCCATTTCCTCAAAGCCCTTGTGCAGTTTGAGCCTAACCCCGTAGATAAGCTGGGAGATAAGTCATTCATAAGCCCTTAGTATTGTTTGTGCCCAATCGATATGTTTTCTTAAGGGGAATTTGCTGTAGTCTACTACGTCTGGTAAGCTATGCCAAAGGCCAGCCCGTTCCCCCACACGGCAATCAGAGGAGTTGTTACTGAAGAACCCTGCCTGAGAGACTCCAGCCACGTGCTGCAGGAGCCACTCTTCCCTTTCCAAAATAATGACCTAAGTGGGTTCGACTGAGTTTTCTCTGTCTCTTTTCTGCATGTGGAAAAGCTTTACAACGTAAGCAGAAAGACCTCTCTTTGTCAGGGTCCCAGGGGTCCTGCTAGCCCATGCCACTGTGGGGCTGCAAAGGGCAGGCAGCTGGAGCAGAGCAGCCAAGCTGGACGTGCTTTGTGGCCAAGCCCGGCTGGTGCCAGGAGGCCAGCTGCGCTGTCCTGTGCCCGGCCCACCCAGCTGCTCTGGTGGCTGAGAGAAGCAGCCCAAGCTGCTGCTCCTCGGGGCATGGACTGATTTCCCTGAGTAATTCCAAGACCGGTTTGTCCTTGGGAAGCCTCCAGGATCTCTGTGGAGATTTCAGATGGTAGAAATAAGAGGCAGATTCAGACTCAAGGTCATTTGGGTATTCACAAGCCTTGCAAGACTTGTTGGTTTCACAACAGATCAAGCTATCTTCTGCCATTGTCATGGAGGGAGAGCTCAGATGCCACAAGCATGGGATCTAGCAGGCTTTATCCCCACTCCCTCAGTAGTTAGGTCCAGGCTATCATTAAATTGCAGAATGCATTTTACTGTCCAGCAGAAGTGCTTAGGTTTTATGAGGTGTGGTGCATTTTTTTTATCGTTATTGTTATTTTTTTCTAATTTAGCAGAGTAGAGATTTCTGGAGGCTACTATGAGTACATTGATGTCAGCAGCTGCCAGGACATCATCCACCTTTACCACTTGCTTTGGTCGGCCACGATTCTGAACATAGTGGGGCTATTCCTAGGGATCATTACAGCAGCAATACTTGGAGGCTTTAAAGACATGGTAAGATGGTACCAATTTCTCTGTGCATTAAATGAAACAAATCAGGCAAATTGCCTTTTAAAAATAATAATGAAAACAGCTTACTGGTATTTCAGTGCAAATGATCTATGCGTTACTGCAATCAGGCTGGAAAGAAGGGCATGAAATAACTGTAAGGAGAAAGTGGAAATGATTCACCTTTCTGATCTGGTGTCACCACCTGAACACAATTAGAAAAGATGAACAGAACTGGGGGGCTGTATTTTCAAAAGGAGCCTTCTCAGAGGTGTTGGCAATGCCAGGATGAATAAAAATAAGCTCGCTTTTAAAAACTGGTCTTCCTTTTCATAGCATTGACCTTCTACAAAGAAATGTGTGGTGGTTGCTCATGAATTGTTGATTTTATAGCAGTAGTAGGGTTCTGAGCTTTACAGACTGTGTAAGCAGCCCTGTTAGGCTGAAACTCTCCATCTAGTTTCTTCATGATGTAGAATCTGAGAGGGTGAACTGGGGACCAAAACCAGGTGAAAGACTGCCAACTTTAGGTAATGAAAAAAATGCTGTTCTGACAACATGAGCTTTGAAATATCCTCACTTTCCTAGGCTGCTACCTTCCATACAGTCTTGTTCTGCAGAGGACAAATTAATGGGGAGAACTGAACATTCAACAGATAAATTTGGGGTTTTTTTCAGTCTCTTGCGATTCATTTGGAATAATACAAAATGAGACACCCAGAAAAGAGCATTTGTTGTTCCGGCAATGCATTTTTTCTTACAAAACAAATCTCAGGCACTAAGGGTGCCTTATTTTAGAACTCTGAACTTTCCTACACACTTTTCAGACTCAGCAAGATCTTTCCAAACAAAACAGGAGACACATTCCCAGCTGTGCATCGTGGCCTTTTGAGATTTGATCCACACCAGACAGCCTGTAAACCTCTGCAAAAAAAAAACCAAAAAAAACCAACGTATAGCAGTTTCTGTGAACAAGCAGTACAAAAGGAATTGAAATATGCTGATCTCAAAATGCACTGAACTACAGAGTAATCAAAATTAATGGATTCTTTCTCCTACTTGTGAAGATGCAATCTGAACAGTTGTTTTGTTTGAGTACTGGCATGCACTGGGCTATTGCCAGCTTGTTTTGTGGAATCTAAGAGGAAACTATAGGTGGCTGAGGAATTAAATGACCTCAGGATTCACCTGGTGCCTCAGGGGGAACCGGATTGCTGCTTGCTAATTTGGCAGAGTTGAGCTCTGAAGACACACAGTGCTCCTTTAAATCATTTCTGCTTTCATTCAGCTGTCAGCTTTCTGTGACTTGGTTAGCAGCCTGAAATTCTCTCTTTTTGTTTTAACAGACTCCTTCCCTCCCTACTCTGAACTGTACGGTTGAAAACACACACCCTTCGGTGTCCTACTACTCAAGGCCACAAGTGACATCTTACAACACCTACTACCACAGCACTCCTCACCTGCCTCCCTACTCTGCATATGACTTTCAGGTGGGGGACATTACGGGATGTTTTCTTGTTTAGCAGCAAGGTTAAATCCAGCCAGTCTGCAGGACTCTGGATGCCTGTCTTCCTGTCATTCACACAGTTTAATTTTCCTGTTCCTGCAGAGAATAGCAAATCTTTCCTACTAGGTATTTGTCCCTGGCAGTGTTTTCCCAAAAGCTGTTCTTGAAGAGAAGGCAACAGAGCCTGGTAGAGGCCACATTAAAAATAGGCATTGCCCCTGGCACCTGCAGTTTCTGAGGATAGAGGCAAAATGAGGCGTTCGGGTGCTAGTTTTTATCAGGCTGACTGCTATGTCTGAGAGAAACGGGCGATCTTTTGGAAACAAGCTATCTGAGTTCCTGAAGACACACACTGACTGAAAAGCTTTTCTGTTGTGGTTTTTTTCCACATGCTTCAGCTGGTGTAAGAATGGTCCCTACAAACATCACCTCTGCTATAATGCATCCCTTCCTCTTCTGAGTTACAGAGCTGTGCTGTTGGAAATGGTGATTTCATGTGAACCTTGCTGTCAACATCAGCTTTTGCTTGTTGAAGCAGATGAGGACATTTCCTCCTCAGCTTTTCTGTCAGGTGTTAACACATCATAGGTTTTCTTTGCCACCATCAGGCCTGGAGACTTTTTTTATTAATAAGAGTTTAAGGTCTTGGACATCAACTAGAGGTGTGCTCTGTGATAGCCACCATCTCCCCTCATCAGAGCCATGCATTAGATTAACATGAATCTAAACCTTTCTGGTTTTACTGCTAGTGCCACTAGACAATACTGTTAGGGATTCCTAGAAATATTTGAACACTTACATTGGTTTTACTGCTAGTGCCACTAGACAATACTGTTGTCGGGGATTCCTAGAAATATTTGAACACTTACATCAGAATTTCCAGGACTTACTTATACAGATTTGTGACTCATTTTTGAGCTTAATGCAACCTGGGACAGTCACTAGTGTTGTGTAACTTTTACAGTGGCAAAAATACCAACCTCAGCATGTACCAAACCAAGCTCTGCTTGAAAGTCCTCTTCTCAGCTGCTTGGCTGGTACTAAGCACTGTTTATCTCTGGGTTTGCTGTACTGCAGCCACAGTGCCAGCAGAGAGCTCAGCATGGGTGGATTTGCCCTGCTTTTCAACTAGAAGTACTGCTGGGGCTCTGCTAGCACTTATATCTCAGCCGGACAGATGAAAGTCTCTCTGTCTCACTGCTGTGAGCACAGGTGTTGGCTTAGGAGCCAGCACAAAAACTGGGCATAAATTGAGGTAATCTAAATTTAAAATTGCCAAGTCTCTCTTTCAAATGCAATTCCGAGTCTGAGCCTTGCTTATCTTCCAGGGAACTTGAGGGTCTGCATGAAAGCATTAGCTGAGCTCTCTGGCTGTGGAGACTCTCTCTTGCCTTGAGCCCTACTCTGACCCAAGCAGCGTCTGTAACACCCTGACACCTTCTCCCCTGCCATCCGACAGCACACAGAGCAAGCCCAGCCTCACCTCCCAACTCCCTTTTGAAGGCTGCACTCCCTCTGGTACAAGAATTTGACAAGTCAGTGCTTCCCACTCATCCCACAAATCTTTCACAGGAAAAAAAACAAACCCAACACTCCAGAATTTCTAAGGAAGCCTCTACCCGTGCAAGAGCCTGGCTTTCACACACAACTCTAAAATGGCAGACCCAGCTCTCTGGTTTTTGGAGGAGCACAAGCCAATGGGTGTTGCAGTGGCTACCACTTGTGCTGTGGCTAATGCCACTCCATGGCACCCAGCTGGCCGTGGTGGGGAAGGCGGCAGACCTGTGCAGTGGACCGTGGTGGGGACGGGCAGGAGGAAAGAGTCCTGGTGGAAATAGTGCCTGTATCTCACTCCTCACTCTGTGTGCTTGGTTGGGGGCAATCAGGTGAGAAAGTCTCAGTCTTGCAGTGTTTTGACTTCTGCAAGTCCTGAGCTGTGTTTGGCTCTGACAAGAGAACGCACGCAAGCGGTGGCCTTCTCTGCCTTTCACCCCCTGTCAAAAGAGGAATTAGGGCCATCTTCCCAGCTGCTGGCTTTGGGAACCAAGCCGGTTGGTGTGAGCCATGCTTGCACCAGGCCCGCTTGCAGCCACGGCAGCTCTGCTCCAGGACTCATGGCTGTAGCTGAGGCAGCTGGGCGCAGGCACTTTGTAACGGTGAAAACCCAGGGCTGCGTTTGCTAACGAGCATCAGTGCCGTGTTGCCGCAGCAGTGACCTTCCAAGTGTCTTTGCAGTCTGGGGGCCCCCACCCATTGGGTTTCAGGTGAACTGGGGTGTGATGGAAGAGCCGTTTTGTTGTTTGAAACAGGAGCAGTTTGTATGGTGTTCTGTGAGGTCCTCGATGAGCAGGCTGGGCTTTCGTGGTCTATATATCTGCTTAATAAACCATCACAGGTTGGTGTGAAGGGAGTGATACAAAAAAAGATCGTTTGAAAACAACCTGCTATGACTGCAGAGTCCATCATTCCTCCACACACCAAGGTAAAATCACGCGGTCACCTCCAACCATGTACATGGTTACTGCTGCGTACAGCTCGGCCTCGCTGCCCTGCCATGGGTCCCTTGGTATGCACACCCTTGCAGCACAGTGCAAATCCTCCTCATGCTTCCATCTCTGCTGGGGCCTTAAGCCAGGCACATTTGGGATTTGCAGTCCGTGCTCGCGGCCGAAGGGTGATGAAGGGGTGCGTGGTGCCTGAGCACCAGAGCAGAAAGGTGTTCTGTGCCGGCGGTGCGGCCAAGCGGCGTCTGACACCGCTCACTCTGCAGGTGGCTTGTTCAGGTGGGCCAGATGGCCAACAACAGCGGCACAGGGCACAGTGTGGCTGTCAGGGATAAAACCACCATGCATTAGTGGCCAGAGGAGTGAATGCAAGTGACTGTATTTCATTGCCTGTTTGTCCAGCCTGTTTCTGGTCAGAACACAGCCCATGCACAGGTCTCTGACAGCACCAGTGCTGTATGACTTGAGGCTTTAGACCTAAGGTATTTTTGATAACAAAGGTACTTTGGAGAGCAGAAATTAATCTTCAGGCATGCACAAATTTTGTTTCTCCACCTTTTCAAGCTTTTTACTTACTGAAGGAATAAATGATTTTGTTATCATTAATTTCTGGGGGGTTTTTATTTGTGATAAAGAGAAAAAGTAGTGTAAAAAGACATTATCTGCAGCCTGATCATTGTTGCTTCTGGCTGATGTGTGAAACCCAAGATTTGAGACTCCTTAGTTTTCAGTTGTCTGGCCTCTGTAAATGCAGCAGGTACACAGAAGTGATGAGAAAGAAAAAAATTTTTTTTTTTTTTTTTCCTGTTTTCGGTCTAAGGAGTTTCATTAAGCAAAACTGTTGCTTACAGGCTGTGCTTACCTTGAATATAACAAGTTCCGTGAATACTTACTTGTGTGTACATGTGTTTTGCAGAAGCGAGCTTTGAAATGTTAATTCTGTGCTGCTTGGTAATGAAGTATCGGTTTACCAGGGTTCTTTACATTAAGAAGTGGTTACATTACAGCCTTCTTGCTGTCTCCCTGCAGCATTCCAGTGTGTTTCCAGCCTCCACTCCTTCTGGCCTCTCCGATGACCCCCAGTCAATGTCGCCATCTCCCAGCTATATGTGGTCCTCTAATGCTCCGCCTCGTTACTCACCACCGTATTTTCCACCTTTTGAAAAGCCACCACCTTATACACCATAAAGAATGTGGGAAAGAAGAAAAAAATATTTGCCATTGAAATAGTTGTGAACATTTTGTATTTATATTTTACTGTGGGAGGAAGCGGGAGGATAGATACAGAAGTTAATTGCAAATACAAATATTAGACTGGACTGTTCTTTCTTGCGAGGCTTATTTCAGGGGTTTAACGACAGAGAATGAGTAAGGGACATACTGCTGATGTTTTGCAGTGTCGGTGAGTAGCAGGTGGTCTAAATTCCAGACTCTTTGTGTTACCATGAGGTTCATGTAGTCCTTGGTTTTTAATAAAGTGATACAACACAGATGATAGATTCTGGTCTGCCTTACTCCATCTTGTGCCAAGCTGAAGTAAGGGTAGCCAAGATCGATAGTTGCTGGAGGGTATCAGTCTGTTTAAGGTGAGGGTGCTTGCAGACAGCTCGACTTGATGCTTGTTTTGTTTGCCCTTGGGGCTCCAGTTTCTGTGACTTTTTGAGGCCACGGAACCTAGCTCACATCACTTGGTTACAGCCTATGCACTGGAAAAATCTTGGGGGGAACTGTGACACTGTCTCAAACTTTAACACTAATGAAAAGAGATAATGTTGTAGGGTATTTTCATGTATGTCTAGCAAAGCAATTGGAATATTGCTTTTTGGAGGGGAAAAGCTTTAACAGGCAAGCTGTTTTTATTTCAGGATGCTTCATAAGACAGAAGGTGAAATGGAGTTGTCTCTCTGAATTCTGTATGTGTAATGCCGAAGTCAAACATTTTGAGTGGTTGCACTGCCTAAATCTTCCTTGTATTCCTATAAAGAGCATCAGGAACTGTCCACAAGTCACTGAAACAGTGCAGTGAAAACTTTTTTTTTTCCCTTCTGTTTGGTTGGGAAATTTTTTTTTTTTTAAGCTTGTACTTTTAACTTTTTTAATGGACTGAATCAGCACCCTGAATAAGCACTGTTTTAGTAGCTGTATTATGGGCTGCACATAAGGAATATCCACTACTAGTTCTCCAAGATGTAAGTCTCACATGGATAAAATTCAACACCTTGTAATATAGGATGAAACTGATAGGAATTTGCAATTATTGCTGTGACGTTCATTTAATCTTCAGCTGATGACTGTGCTGATTGATCTAGATTCCAACAGATTTTGCATGCATCCTGCATAACAAAAGAAGGTCAGCTTTGTTATGTGACACACTGTCCTGTAAAGTGTGGTTCTACTCCGGGAAGTGATTTCAGATGACAGCGTTCAGATCTGAGCTGCTCAACCTGAGCATTCTCAACTGCTTACTTCAGGGATAAAAATAAGGTATTGACATTTTACTCCTTATTTCCTAAAGATTTAATTTCCTTGGCATCAGATTGTTGACCCTAATCCTCAATTGTCTGCTTTTACTTTCAACTGATGCAGACAAAAAGGTACCTAAAAGCTAAAGCTGGCTTTCAGAATCTAAAAGTGTAATACATGCTAGGGAGAAAAAAAAAAATATATCCAGTTGGATTATAAACTGTGGCGTCTCTACTTTTAATCTAAAAAAAAAAAAATAAATACTGTCAACATGGAAAACAAACACTGAAGTCTCTGATCTCACTTTTCAAAGTACACCCACACTTTATAATGCTGTTTTTAATCCTATGCATTTGCAAAGCCTTTAGGCTAGGCTATGTGTTAACCCTATCATTTCCACTGTGAAATATTAATCAGTATATTAATAAGCTAAAGGATGACGCTGTTTATCCAGAAGCAAGTGTAACTTTTCTCCAGTAACAAAGAAGAATAAATGGCTGGAGAACAGAATACAACTCACGGGATTTAAAGCAGTAGTGTATGCAGAACATACCCTGGTGACATTTTGTTTTACTGTAGATTGTTGAAGTGCAGCTCCTATAAATTTGCGTGCTGGAAATAAATTTATATACTGGGACATCATCCATTTTGTATTACATTTTCCTGAATTAAATCTTGATAAAGAGATCATGGGCAATGTCAAAACAGACAGTACTTCTGATAAAACTCCCCACAAAACCAGAATCAGAAGGGCACATTAATTTAATACCAGAAAGCATTTTATTGCTGCATCTTTGAAATAAAAGCTAACAGTCCTGTCCCACTTCTGACAAACATACTCTACCATTTGTGCCTGTCAACTAAATAGGGCTAGGACTAGGGGACACTACAGGACAGGACTAAGAAATTCATGAGGGGAACATAATTGTTTCTCTGCCACTAAGTTAGGAAATGATTGTGTCATTGGTTTTGAGTTGACAAATTATCCAAATTCTCTATTTTTTTTTCTAAGGAATATTAAAGCAAAAACTACATTGCTGCTTTAAATTCACTATAAAAGGACAAGTCCATTTTCACATTTAAAAAATTACTGGTGGGATTTTCTGTTGAATTAGCTGTTTCCTTCTGCTTGAGTAAAACTAAGCGTTTAATGTAAATGCAACATTCTGCACTGTATTCATCATTTCTTATGAGAATGTCAAGATTGTGACTCATATGTACCCTTTTATTACTTTACCAAAGTTAAATAAAATTGTGTGACTTTTGTAAACATTTATAAATTGCATTTTACATTTTAGCAACTTTCCTGTTTTACAAGCATCTTTCATGGTAGTTGAGGAATTCCAGTATAATAGCATCATGCATTTGGAAAGAAAAAACAAAAAAAAGCAACCAAACAAACCACCACCAAAAAAGCACCCCAAAAAATGTATTTGCTGTATTGGAAACTGGAGTTTCTACCAGGATTAGCCAGAGACACCTTTTTTTAAGTTCTGTTTTCAAAAGCCCCAGATGCCCCCACACTTCTTCATTCTGCAGTTTGACCCACATAACAGGGTGCCCTGACTTCAATCACTGTAAAGTCATTACTGCCAATTTTTTGCTTAACACAGAGGTGAATAGTCCAGCCAGTACAGCATCAGTGTCTCCTTTACTTACTTTCAGGTTTACTGTATTACTTTGCACCTACTTCTGTCCTGATGATGTCAGCTGCTCTTTGATGTTAGCAGAAGTAGGTGGAAGCCCTGTGCCAAGCAGATAAAGGCATCTAAAAACATCATTTGATGTGTTACTTATTAAATCGCATTCCTTACCTGTAATAAGTCTGCATAAAGTAACTAATTTTCTCCATGTTAGCCACGGTTCACCAACAATCTGACTCTTGCAAATCATAACTAGTCAGCAACCTGGTAAGAAGAGTAGCCCTAACCATGAGCGAGCTGAAATGCATCGCACTGGTCACTGTGTATGTTTTTTCTTGATTTCTAGCTCATTTGCAGTGATGGCAGTAGTTGGACAAACCTTTCAACAGCAGCTCCGCCTATTCTGAGACTAAGCGTGTATCACAGCATTCAGCTCACAATACACAGTGAAGTTTTTCAGATAATTTGCTTTCCTGGAAAGTGCTCAACCTAAAAAAAAAAAAAAAAAAAAAAACACCAAAAAACCCCCAAACCAGACCAAGAAAAAGCCCACCAAAAAACCTAAGTTCCAAATAAAAACACTTCCCCCCACCCAGTGTTCCCTACTACTCCCAAAGACCCAGAAAAGGAAGCTGCAAACTGTTGGCAATCATCTAACGTGTTACACCATAGAAGTTGAGTTGTCATTAAAAAGAAGCATGGTACGGCCATCTTTAGAATTAAACTTTTTTATTTTTGCCATAGAAAGCTCTAAGAACTAATATCAAGTATTGATTAATGAAAAGTAGAACACAATTTTAAAAAGTACGTTAAGGAAAGACTGTACAACTATATACATTACAGATAGGGCAGAAATGATAAATGTTTCACACAGGACAGTTCCTAGGCAATAGCTGTAGAACCCAATGTTCAATGTATATAGTCATCAGCTTCTGCATCTTTTTTATAAGCTGCATGCCTTAACAGTACAAAATAAATAAGCAGTCAACTGTTACCTCAACATTTGTTTAATTCACATACTGGAATGCTATGGTATAAATCCCCAAAGAATGCACACAGTGAGGATGCAGCCACCATTATCGTATTTTGCAACAGATCCATTAATGTTTTTATATGCATATAAATGACTGTGAGGTTTGCTACCATACTCTGTTGAAATTTTTATTTTTTATATAAAAGCTTTTTCAGATTCAATCTTTTTCTTCCATGACCCCAAAGCCAATTTCTTAATATTTACATAAGGTTTTTCATTAAGTTAAACTGGAAGCTAAGTGTTTACAAAAACAAACAAAAAAACAAATACAAGTGCAATAGCCAGAAATCTAAATATAAAAGCTCATGGCCCCATAAAAAGTTTTAAAAGAATGGATTTAACATGTTTCCAAACCAATAAATACTGGAAGTGAAATAAAAAAAATGCTTTACATGACCTCTGGACTTTGGATATCAAAAATCACTTCCAAGGAAAACTGAAGACCCTGAGACACATGCAAGCACGAGTCTTCTAGCAAAAATAGTTACAAAGCCCTAATTTTCCAGTTTTCCTCCAAAAAGAGACCTTTAGTAGGCACAGCTTAATTCAAGGTTTTAAATATATCAGCAGCAAATATTGATAGCCATCAAGTTTAATTATCACAGAATTTACACTTTGCAATGTATGCTTCATTCCAGATGTGTCATGTCAATAACAAAAATACAATGTTATTTTTCTTGTCAAAAAGTTCAGGAAGTCTCACTATCGCACGCAGCCAGCTACGTCAGAGCTACCTGTGCTAATACAGGCAATCAATACGTAGGTCCTGGGAGGATGATGTTTGACTGCTGAAACGCCGTCTCAGCTAACATCCAGCCTGTAACATCTGAAAGCATACCCCGTTACATTCAAAGGGGTCTGCAATAGGATCTGAAATAACTGTGTATGTCACGTTCTCGGCCTACAAAACAGAAGTGCTGAGCATTACATGCATAAGGTAAACAAATCCTCCTCTTTCTCCCATCATTACTCATACAGATTTCTGGTACCCTTTTTTATAGCTCACGTTGTATTTGAACCATTTAGCATTTAAATGTCTTTCTGTCTGGAGTACTCTATGTTTAAGTCCTTAACCTTGAAAGTCATAGGATCAAGACGTTTACTGAAAACATGAAAAGAAAAACCTTTTACTGTAATATAAGCAATGAAAGGTTACGATAACTAAGTAGTACTATGCACGACAATCTCAGTCATCTCTAGAACTTGAGCAGTTTTCGTATTACCCTTTACAAAAATTCAACAAGTCACTAAATCTGAAATGCTAATCTATGACTCCAGTAAACAGCTGTTTGTTTTTCTCAGGTCTACTGTTTCCTGTTCAAGTTGGGCATCTAATTTATCTTCTAAGTGCCGAAACATGTACCAATTGCAAGGAGAAAAAAAAAAAAGGACAATACAATAAACCCAAAACTGAAAATAGATGACAACTAGACAACTGCAGAGAAATGACACTTTGGATTACAGTGGATGGAGGGTATTTTTTTGATTGTTGGTTTAGTCCTCATGCTTCCATAAAGTGTGTGTGTGTGTTTTTGATTGTTGGTTTAGTCCTCATGCTTCCATACCCTATAAAGTGTGTGTGTGTGTGGGGGGGGGAAATCCAAATCCCTGTTTCACCTGAAGATCTAGCCAAATAATAGGCATGCAACATCCTCAGCAGTCTCAGTGCTAAAGCAATACAGCACTTAGATTATTTCTAGTTTTGAGAAGTAAATTTCAAACTTTTCACCTAAAAAAGTATTATTTTTATCGTTAAGTACTACTATTTTTTAAAATACCAGATTGAAGCCCTTCTTTTTGAAGAGCAAAAAAAGGAACAGCACTTTATTCCAAACTAACTACTGGCATTTTTTCCAGCAGTAAGAAAACCTGACATTGCTCCTCAAGCTTTGAAAAGGCAAAATTATCTCCTTCCTAAGTGTTCTAAGCTTCTTCATTATTGAGCTTTGCGGAGTTTGTTGTTTTGGGTTTTTTCCCCCATTGCAAAAAAAAAGAGTAAAATACAATGGCCCAGACACTCTATACTCTGCTCACCATACTGCCAAAAAATAAATTTTGTTCAAGTTAGCCCTAACTGAGCGTCTCTTGTTTGCAAGACTATTTGCATGAAGACATGATTCATAGTGCTTAAGATGCTAGTTCAAAAATACACTACTCCAAAGTACTGGATCAGTTATTTGGAACCTTTGCAGTAATGTACTGTTCACAAAATTAAATATGAGTTGTGGGATTTTTTTTTTAATGGTTCTACATTCGAGAGACTATGATGAAAAACCTGTTTTCTTAGTTAATGTCTAAACACAATTCAGCATTAAAGTGCTAACATGAAAGAAAGGGTTTACATAGTAAGTATGGGTACAGGAAATACCTCAGTTCCTTTAGAAGAAAGATTTCTAGCTCTTTAGAAGGAATTGTACCTTTTCAAGCTACAAATCCCCATGTTTTGATCAAAATTAACACACCAGAAAATACTGCCAGCTCCTTGAAAATATCTTGATCTCTATTCAAGTAAACTCTCACATGAATCACTTCCACAAATCACTTGCAGCTACCAACAATCCACCTAAGTGCTACCATTTGATGACTTGGTAGAACAAGTTAACTTGTTTCCACGTTAACATTTTATTTTACATTGATTTTAACAGTTCATGTAAACCAGCTGCAGTATTTCTGCACCGAATCCTGTTTCCAGCATTTAATGCGTTTCAGTAAGATTCCGGTATTACAAACTCAAATTCAGTACTTCCCTCTGATGGATTTTGTTTAAAAATTGCTTCGTTTCCCTGTGGAATGAAAATGTCATCCCAGGTAATTTGTTTGGCTGGAGGGTTAGATGTTGTTCCTTCAGTGCCATCCTTCCCTGTCCCAACACGATAAACAATTCCACCCTCATTTATTACTGGTATACTGCTTGAGTGATCAGTAATGTACGCATACTGTCTGATCTGCAAAGACCTGCAAGGATGCAATCGGTAAAGCTTGGTGTCTCCAGAAGGGTCTTGGCTATGAACTGATCTTATGTGGGAGGCCGTAATTTGGTAGTTGATGAAAGATTTGCCACACGTCAAGCACTGATACCTTCGCTCACCGGTGTGGTGAATTTCATGCTTCGTACGGTATTCTGCAAGAGGAAAAACTTTGTCACAGTATCGACACGGATACTTCTTCTCCCAGGAATGAACGTTAAAATGTCTCCGTAAACTCGTCAGACATGCATATGACCTCTTACACACAATACAAATGTAGTAGACTCTTCCATCCACTATGAGCTCGTAATGGTCATCGTGCTTTACTTTCATGCGTTTCCTGTTTGGAGAATCACCACCAGATGTTCTAGGCGTTTCATCAAGCTTGGCTTCGCCTTCCTCAGAATCACCCTTGACAGGAATGACTATGTCATATGTATCCTCACCGATATTTGCGTAAACCTTACAGCCTGTCGACAGGCCACCTATTTCAGTTGCTGTATCTAATGTTATGATTTTCTGCCCTTCCGCTACCTGCTTTGATGCTAAACCTGAACTCAATTCCTTGTTGTTTCCAGTAAGGACGTCCGATATCTTTATTTTAAATTCCCCAGGTTTAGCAAACGGCTCTTGTGAAAATGTAACGACCTGTTTTTTCTGTACACCTGATCCTTCAGTGGTTGCTACCTTGGGTACAGAAGATTGCTGAACCAAAGAGCTACTGCTGACTGAACCAGGACTAGAGGAGCTAATGATATCGACATCATCTTCAACAACCTCTTCATCATCAACAGCAGTTGTTTCCACTTCAGTTAAGGAGCCATTATTAGATGGCTGCTGGTTCTCCTCAAGTAAATTAATTGTAGGGGTCACATGTGTTTGATGTGAGGAGCTGGCACTGAGTGATGTGTTAAGTAGAGGCTTATTTAGCACAATGATATTAGGAGTCAAATGCTGCGGTGTTGCGGAGACAAGTGATTCGGCACTTGGTTGCGTTTGGTTTGGGCTTAGCTGACTGGTAGACGAAGTGAGTTTTTGAGCTGTTGTCGTGCTTGTCAAATGGGGAGAGCCACCACTGCCACACGATTTTTGGTCAGAAACTCCAGCTGGACTCGGGGAAGGCTGGTTCTGGGCTGCAGCTTTTAAATCTTTAATACATTCTTTTGGAGGAACGATCTCTGAGCAAAAAATTACATCATCATCATCATCAGAATCACTCACTGTAATTTTTGTAGTCTCATATTCTATGCCATGTAAGGAGAATGACTGTGTTATAACCGGCATCCCATCCGTTACCTCTTGGCTCTCTGGCCTTATCACAGGTACTTGTGTTTCAGCATCCTTTTGGCCTGGACTAGAAGTTGAAGTTTCTGAAGCACCATCTTTGACCTTGCTTGGCATGTTTTTTCCTTCAGACGGAGGTACGCCCAGATCAGCTATGAATTTAACACCCAGCTGTTGCCCTGATTTAATCAGTTCATCAAGTAAATCAGATCGAATGCTGATTATTTTGGAACTATAAATATAGTTAAGAATTTCTGCAAAAATTTCCGCTCTCACAAAGCTCAGTTCAACCACTTGCCCAGCCACTGAGAAAAGCTGGTGAAAATATGTGCTTGAGGCTGAAAGGATGTTTCTGTGAGCTCGAAATTTCCGGTCCTCCACGATGACAGTAACATCACAAAAAAGTCCGTGGCCACGTTGTTCATTCAAAGACTGAAGAAGCACATTGGAATACTGTGTGTCTGTTGCAGAAATCAGGTTTTTCCCCTCCATTCCTACAAAGAGAAAATAAAAGGCATCAAATTAGTAAAAATAACAGATTTACAGTTTTAACTGCATGGCAACCTTTGCACATTTGCGGTTTATTCCTTCTTTTGAAAAAACACATCCCAGATACTATTCATAAGCCTATATGCTATAGCACTGTGAAAACTTTTTTCTTATTGTTATTTGCCCCTTCACCTTCTACACGAGGTACGTGCAATTCCGAATATATCCTCTCTTCTTACAAGGTAATGAAGAGAGAAACAACAGCTTATCTGATTCAGCAGCAAATAAGGTGAATTTGAAAACCAAGAAGATGCAAGATTCGTGTCCCTCAAACGGCTTTAAACAGTACTAGAGAAGTATTTTTTTAAAATATTCCATGAGTTGTTATAAGAAAGCCCGATAACATCCAGGTTATTTATGGGCAACAACAAAATCTGTCCGTCTGTATATCACCAGTCAACTGAGGCTAACGAAAATGCTGCTGGTACTTCACTTCCTCACCCGGAAAAAGAAACTTTTGTTTGTTTGCCTTTAACCCATCCTCATCTATTTGCAAGGTTGCTTTGTGCTTGAAACCGAGATCACTGAGGCAGCACGTTAACAAAAAAAGACCTGTAAACTCAAACTCATCCGGCTGCCGGCACTTCCGATTCGACGCCCCCCAACAAGACGCAAAAAAACCAACATCAAAACACACCGAGAGAGCGCAAAAGGCTGCGAGTCCTTCGTTTTCCTCGTAGGAGTCCGCACCCCCCCGCGGGGAAGGGCAGGGTAAGGAGGAGAGGCCGAGACCCG